CTAACTATCTAAATTATAGTCTAATACTACTAACTATAAAATTCTTGTACCCTTAGTAATTCCCTAGGTATATTGCAAGGGTTGCAGGGGAATATCTATAAAGTTCCTACTAATCTATCTTACTAACTTTTCCTTAACTATACTAAAACACTAGCACCCTAAATTAACTATTGCTTATACGTTCTCTACTCTACCTAGGAGGAGGGGAATAAAGAAGGGAGGATTATTTAACCTAGCCTTAATATCTAGGGGATACTTAATAGCCTCTACTATTAATAATTCCTCTATTATAGTGTCCTCCTTATACCCCTAACTTAGCCTAAAGTTAGGGGTAGCTAGTTTCCTAAATTAGAGCCGCTTGCTAATACTACAACTATCTTAACACCTACTAGTTATAGTAACAGGGTATTAGGGCATACACGCATAAAATAACTGCCCTATCTACACTAGGTATAGACCTTTGCTAGTTTCTGTATATTAAATAGGTCCTATAAGATCTAGTTAGGACGTAATATTAGTAGTTTAGTAGGTGCACTTAATAAGGCTACTACTTCTACTATATTTATATTGCTATCCTAATCTAAGTTAGACTTCTACTAGGGTTCCTTAGACTTACTAGCCTAAAGAAAACCTAGTTCTAGAGAGGCTATTTTAATATCTACTATAATTATCTTGTATTCCTCTATAGCTACGTTGTAGTTTATCCTAGAGACTCCCCTATTAAGGGAAACTAAGCGCATATAACTATTAAGAGATTACTAAAGTTATAAAAGCTTCTATTTATTATCCTAGTATAAACCTCCTAACTATATAAGGAGCTATATAAAATTTATAAAGAACTCTATAAAAGGCTAATTTTAGCCCTAATATAAGTGTTCTAACGCAACTTAGGCGCGCTCCTACCTATAATAGTTACTATAATAGAACGCTAGGTAGTTAAGAAACCTACTTATATCCTAACGCTTGCGTGCACTATCCTTAAAGTATAGTGCTATAGCGCACTAGACTATAGGTAATAACTAGGACTAAATATATATAAACCTTGCCTCCTTATCCCTAATAAAGACCTTGTCTGCACGCAGTTTAAACTCTATAGTTATTTACTAGGAGGAGAAGTTTGCCTTAGTGCTATTATATAGTAAGCTAACTAGGAAGGGTTTGCAATATAAGGTAGGAGAGGGCGGAGGTAGTATATTATTAAACCTAGCGGGCTTAGAGGAGGGTTAGGATAGAATCTAATTGCGTATTTTTTTATTCTATTAATATAGTATAGCTATTATAGTAGAGTCTTAAGCCTATTATTCTATTAATCTATAGACCTATTGTATTAGCCTTTCTACTATATTAGGTTGCACCTAGTTATTCTAAATATCTAGCGCGTCTATCTCTTATTACTATTATAGTATATTTAGAAGAAGATACTAAAATATTATAGACTAGCCTTAAGGGAGAATGTAATAAGCGTTAATAATAGTATTTAGTATCTTAAAGGAGAGATAAGCCCTCTACGCCTTTTTATGGGTGTCTAGTGTGTTCGCTTAGTAGTGGTGTTGGACTTAGTCCGTCTTGTGTTAGACCTAGGCTTAGGCATAAGCCTAAGCCCTTCACATATAAGGTCTATATAGTAATATAGGGGCGTTATATAAAAGGTATATATAGCTACTTCTACTAGTTACTATTAAATATACTAATATTAGCGTAATAACAGTCTCTATAATATCTATACCCTCTATAGCCTATAGTGTAAGGATATTATCTACCTCTTAACTACTAGCGTCTATAACGTTAGATAGAGGACAAGGCAATAATATTCTACTACTTAGTGCCTCCCTCTACTTCTATGTAGCTGCCTTACGCTAAGATTAATAAGATATATAAGCAGATACTAATACATTATTAAGGCCACGCATAAAGTTAATAATACCTTCTATAGTAGAGGTAAACTAATAGCTACACACGCTTAGAGCCTTAACGCAGAACTTAGTAGTAAAGAGTTTAGATAGTTTAGTAGGATTACTACTAATATCCCCTATAAACTTATTATAGGCGTTACTTACTTTAATATAAGCTAACTCTAGTATATACATGCCTACTAGTATAGGAAATGCTATATTAGGTTATATATATAACTTAGTTACGCGCTTCTATATAAACCTCCCTAGCTCCTTATACACGAATTAACTTATCTTTCTAATTCTTAGTTTTATAGGTTGCTCTAGTTATACTAGTAGTAGAATAGGGACTAATTTAAGAGCTACATTATAACCTAAATAATAATGCTCTAGTATAATAGAAGGTTGTTTAGTAGCTAGTATTAGGTATTTACTAAGTGTCTCTAAGAAACTATAATAGTAATAAGGGTTATTTGCTAACTAGATTAATTCTAGTAGTACCTTATTACGCAGATTAAGTTTAGCATTAGTCTAATAGACTAGTTAGCCTCTACTATTAATAGCTTCTTCCCTACGCTAGTCTATCCCTTTAGCAAGCTATAATAGGTTAAGGGTATTATCCTAATTACCTAGAGTTGCGACCTATAACAGCTAGCTATAGCTATAGAAAAGAGAGGGCTAAATCTAGTTTTTCTTATAACTATTACTTAGCCTAGCTATATCTAACTTCTCTTTAGGTAGTTAAGTTAACCTAACACTAAACAACTAATACAGCAATATAATATACGTAACGCTAACGCGGCTATAATCTTGCCCCCCTTAACTAATACGCTACTATATATTAGTAATACTCTATATAATAGGTATATTATATATAATAACTTAGATAATATCTATAATATTAATACCTATACCTAGGGCTATAGTTGCAAAGATTATATAGATAGTGTTAAATTAGCCTTATAGAAAGCCTTATACGTCGCGTCTTTATTATAATCTAAGTTTATAGCTTTATACGTTTTAATAATATTAAATATATATCTCTTGCTAGTGCTAACCTTACTAGTAGTATACTACTATTTAGTAGCATAACCTATAGTAAGGGATACTAATATCTTTTACGCCTAGGTTACTACCTCTTTAATTATACTACGACTGTTAATAAACACAATTATCTTTAGAATATTAGAGGGTAAGGCTTGCCTATCTATAGTCGCGCTATCTAGAAGATAGAAGAGCTTATCTAGGTTCCTTAGTTAACTACTTAGGATAGGATATATTATAAGCTTAACGTCTAGCTAGTTAATTAATATCTATAGAACTAATATATAATATATTCCTATTCCTACTAGATAGAACCCTATATAGAGTAGGACCTTCCTAGTTACCTAGATATCTAGCGTGCTAGAGTAACTAAACTATATAATATCCTTATAAAGTATTACGCAGAGTTCTGCTAGCTATATAAACATAGGTTAGAATAGTTCCTATTATAATATAAGGTAGCACTTATTAATAGTAACTAACCTAACTTTAGCCTAGAAAGAAGGCGTCCTTATAATAACCTAGAATTTCTAGCTTGCTACCTGCTTAGGGCCTAAGAGTATATAGGTGTAGCTACCCCTAGCTATCTCTATAAGGATATAAGTATACTATAGTATTTAATAATTAAGAAGATATAGCTATAATCTAGGTAATATTTATATAGCCTTAAACTACTTATTACTAAGCTTACTTAATAGTATTATTTATAGGGTTATCTTCCTTATTAATACTAAGTACGCGTAGAATATTATACTTTTCCTATAACTAGTATAAGTAATAAGTAGGACGTCTACTCCCTAGCTATATATTAACTACTATAAGGTTTAAACCTAACCCTCCTAAGGTATAATAACCTACTTAATATATAGAGATAGGATATGCTAAAGGCAAGCCTAGATAATGCTATACTAGTACGTATAGAATAACGCTAGTCTTACTATATTAATTACTATAGGCATGTCTTAAACATCTATTTATAGTATACACGTAATTAGCTTATATAGCCCTCCTCTACTTATAGTTATATATAGCTAATTAGTATTCCCTTTATTCTATATTTAAGCTTAGTAAACGCGTGCCCTAACCTTACAACTATCTTTCTACCTTTTTAATAACGTAGGCATGCTGTAAAGTAGGGCTTGCTAACTATAGGTTAGCTAACTAGCCTAAGAGGTTGCAGAAGTTTATAGAAGTTTAGAGGAGGCAAGGCTTACTAGCAGGTAGGCTAGTTAGTTAGCCTAGGAGGTTGTAGAAGTTTATAGAAGTTTATAGAAGTTTAGAAAAAAATATATAACGTGCTATAGTAGGGAAAAAGGAGGAGGTTAGGGAGGGAGGAGGTTAGGGAGGGAGGAGGTTAGGGAGGGAGGAGGTTAGGGAGGGAGGAGGTTAGGGAGGGAGGAGGTTAGGGAGAGAGGAGGTTAGGAAGGGAGGAGGTTAGAGGTTAGGGCCTATAGTAGCTAACTCTATATACGCAAAATAGTTTGTAATAGGCTTACGCGATAATATAGTTTATTATTATATTATAGTTCTATTACTATACTTATAGTTATAATATAAAATTAAGATCTATTAGTATAATCTATTCTACCCCTAAGGATTTTTACTTAATAGTTAATAGGTATAGTATTATCCTAAAAATAGCTATATTATATTTTAAAGTTACATTATACTAAAAAAATTCCTAGTTTCCCTTAGACGCTCTGCTAAAGCTACGCTAACCCTTTACATAAGTAGCCTGTAATTAGTCTAGAAGTTTATATCTAGCGCTAACTATATAATTAGCCTAGAAGTTTGCAGATATTTGCTAGCGCCGCAGGCGTGCATTTAGCGGAGCGTCTGATTCATGAGATAATGCTAACAGTACTTATCGATCTCCCGTCGATGCTTAGTCAGACGGACGACTCGTGACGTTTTGATGATCGACTTGTGCACTGCCAGCATCTGGCAAGAGAAATGAAGCATTTAAATCTCATCCAATCAGTCTTGCCGAATACCTCGAGGAATCCGACGCTCCTCTCCTGTCGTGCTCATCAGCGTATTTGGAAGTACCCTGCATCTCGCACCATGACATCTGACGCACCCATCCCACAAACCTCACTCCTCTTCGATAAACAACCCGCTTTCATCTACGGAACAGCATGGAAGAAAGACCAGACGAAAGCGCTCGTAAAAGAAGCAATCGTGCAGGGTTTCCGACGCATCGACACCGCAGCACAGCCGCGCCATTACCAAGAGGCCCTGGTGGGCGAGGCGCTCCGTGAAGCGTATGGACAAGGCCTCACCAGCCGTAACGAGATTTATGTATGTTTACACATGCACATGAGGTGGATTTTGGCTCATGGAATACAAGCTGCAAACAAAGTATACCACGCCAGCGGGTCAAGACATGAGTAATATGCCCTATGATCCCTCGTCGCCCCTTGAGACGCAGATCCATACCTCAGTTGCATCTTCCCTACAAAACCTGCGAACAACCGAGGATCCAGAACAAGGCGCATATCTAGATTGCCTATTGTTACACTCGCCGCTGCCGACACTCGAACAGACGCTACAAGCCTGGAAACTCCTGGAATCCTACGTGCCCAACAAGATACGCTCGCTCGGCATCTCAAACGTCACATTACCGGTACTGGAAGCCATTTACAAAAGCAGCACTACGAAGCCGTCTGTGGTTCAGAATCGCTTCTACCCGCAGACGGGTTTCGATGTGGCCCTTCGCGCATTCTGCACGAGCCACGACATCACGTATCAGAGTTTTTGGACGCTGACTGGGAATCCTGCACTGCTACGGTCTGAACCAGTTGTCAGTCTTGCGCAGTATTGCGCGGTTGAGCTGCCGGTCGCACTTTATGCGCTTGTCATGAACGCGGGTATCATGGTCTTGAACGGGACTACCTCAGCTAGTCATATGCGACAGGATCTGGATGGACTGCAAAAAGTACGAGCATGGATTGAGACTCATCCTGGAGACTGGAAAAGTCTGGAGGAGGCATTCAAGGCGTTGATTGAGGGTGCTGCGCGCTGAAGTCGACTTGGCGTGGGCTGGGATGATGTGACAACATTCATGGCCTTGTAGATGTTCGAACATACTCTGAGAAGAACGTGTGTTGGTACTCTTCAAAGAGTTGCAGCAGCAGGCCTGGTACGAAATCCACATGCACTATCTCATGTCGAATGCGTTTCTGCATCTCCGGCGCTCGACATCCTCTGCAAATCTACCAACTGCAGAAACTGTCGATGCCCAGCTTTTCGATACCTTCCGCTAGTAAGAGATTCAAAAGCTGCGATATAGGAATCTAAGGATTACGACCACGAGATACCAGTGTCACCAGTGGGAGAACCAATTGTTGCACATGTGTATCTTGCGCAGAACATTGATACTGGAGAGGGAACGGAATGGTTAGATGAATAATGAATAGTGGTAGATAAGAAATAACTTGCCAGAAGCTCGGGAGTCAATGCAAGAACATTCTATGCAAATACAGAGTACCTCAGATAATACCATTCACGTGGTGGCACGACGGTATTACCGCGTCTCACTAACAGTCACTCCAGCTTGCTTCGAACACTCGGGGTCATCTGTATGCCCAACATCCTGAACATGAAAATTCGGAAGCATAGCGGCCGCGGCAGTCTCATCCGCTGTACGCTTGTTGCGTCTTTGGAAGACCCTAAAGCATCCAAGTCAGCACACCTCCTCGCAGCAGTGCAAAAATGAATGGGATGCTTACCAGATAGCCGCAAGCGCAGCGAGCAAGATGGGGACTCCGAGGCCGACGCTGAGGCCAATGATGAGCTTTATGTTTACGCCTTGGATTTGGCCATCCAATGCATCATCATGGATATCTGTGGGTGACTCGTGATTGGGTTCGACGTAAGCAGTAGGCTGTCCCGAGGTTGCCTTGATGCTTTTGGCGTGCGAGCCAAAGGTGATAGGGCTCTGAACACCTTCAAAGACAGATTCTGGGAAGGTTGCCTCCACGCCAGAAGGAACAGCAGTTACGAGTGGCTTGACGGTGGTGGCTTTGGTCGAGACCTGCGCTGATGCAGGACAGGCCGCAATACCGGTAATAGTGCAGCTCACACCCGTAGTCATTAGTGTTGTGCTGATAGTCGTCGTGGTAAGATCATCTTGCTTCTCTCCTACAGCGGTGATGCTTGCCTGAGTAGGCGTCGGTGTACCTTTGATGGCGCAGACCTCTGCAAGCGTCGTCGTGTAAACAGCCGTCGAGGTTTCTGGGACAGGACCCCAAGTCTGAGGGTCCAGTCCATGGAGATCGACAACCATGGATGCACCAGCAATGGCACCGACAGCGAAATTGAACGCCTGCACGACCTTCATTTCGCATTCCTCGTCTTCGGGGGCATAGGTGACGTTTGTGACGAATTCGGCTACGTTGGCAAAGACGGCGACTTCGATCCCAGTTCGCATCTCGTCGATCGCGCTGAAGTCTGTAGATGGAGGTGTGCCTACTTCTACGCCGCAGTGGACGCCTACACGAAGGGCGGCGGAAATGACTACGCCTCCACTTTGGACTGTTACTGGTAGAAACTCGAATTTGCCGCCATTCCTGCGGGAAGCAAGATCAGTTCATTTGTCACAATCAATTAATACCAAGTCGGGTGAATGTAAAAGTCAAACTTACACTACCAGGTCCGTGACATTGTTACCAAAGAGATCGAGATCCATCGTAACTCCATCATCGAGCATGATGTGAATGCCACTGCTTATATCGATCTCGCCGTCGATCGCCAAGATCAAATCAACCTGGACAACGAAACCGAATTGCACCGGTCCAACCGCAAAACCCGCGGGAGTGTTGGAGGAATACAGGTTCAGTTCGTAAGTTGCGCCTGCAGACAGGACAGTGTCCACTGCCATGTACAGCTCCAAATCATCGAATTGGAACCGTAGATGACAGTCTGGCATCGGAGGGACTGAAAGGTCGAATTGATATGGAAAAGTAGGCAGGTCGAAGTCTGACCAGTCAAAACCGTCACCAACGTTGGTTAATACAGAGTCAGTATAGTTGTCGAGATAGTTCGAGATGTCTGATGCGAGTTGACCAACATTCTGCCGAACAGATTCAGCGGTAGCATTGTAGGCGATGCCCATATCGAAGCCATCACCTATTGTGATTTGAGCTGTAGCAAGCCCACGAACGTAGCAAGTGGTGCAAGTGACTTCGATACTAGCATTAATCTCTACACTGCTGTTGCCACCGTTCTCAGAACTCTGTGTTCCGACTTCGCTGCGCTTTGTGGTCAGCTTTCTATCAGACAGAGTGGGACCTAACCAATCCAACTCACACGTGCAGTAGCGTGGCATCAGTCCAGCGCCTCGCGAGATTGATTTCACTCTTGTTCTCGTAGCGCTTCTCCAGGTTCGCAATTGCCAGACCTTGCCTGATGGATTCATATACATCTTGTACAGTGTTCCCGGGAGCGCTTCGTGTCTGGAGTGAAGATGTGGGTGGCGAGGCTAAAACGTTATAGCCTGGCCATAACAAAAGATACGTGAATCTAGAAACGAGCATCCTGATTGTTGTAGAAAATCCCAGGATACTGGCCAGTGTAAAGTTTGAGACCGTGGTGAATGCTGTGAGAGTATCATAGAAATGATGGCCGGCCTTCTGTCCCTTTTTACAGAAGTCATCGCACGTAAAGGATAAATTTGGATACAGCCTATATGCTTTTCATGTCACCATCCTTCATGACAAGGCATACTTAGGGGCTGGACCATTTTAAAATAACGTAATTACAGCATGGGTAAAACGTCGTCTCGGACAAATGTTGAATCCAGTGAGTTGAAGCGACCACATAGGTGGTGAGAAGAATTTTTGTGATCCTTCGATAGCCTTCGTGTATAAGGTTCTATGATAACTTTGCATCCTCTCAAGATTACTACAGCAGATCCTAAAAGTCATACGCTGCACAGGCTACAGCACAGAACATCCTAAATGCTTCGTCTGACAGACAAAACATAACATGAGTGGCCTGACTAGTTCATCCGAGGGGCAGTGTTCGCCAGGTTCTGAACATGGCTTTCCTCATTTCCAAGATCATACCACAGTGATATTGAAAGTCCGATTGTGGAAGGATCTTGGCCCATGGCACACGCAGGATGCAGGGGCTGTCATAGAGTGAGTGCACTTGGCCAAGAGCTTTACCCCAAATTGATTGTTGGTGACACCAGCCCATGCCTACTAGCCAACATGTGGTTGGCGTGGGGGAGCGACATCTCCCATGGCGATTCAGGATCCATTGCTAAGACCTACGC